TCCAAGATGCTTCACTTTTGTCAAAGCCTTGCACATCCATCCTTGTGTCTGGGCCTCCCAGGAGTTCTGTGAGGCTAGATGGTCAGGGACCCGCTGAGGTTTAGGGAGGCTCACAATAAATCACCAAGAGCCTGGAACATGGCCTTGCAAGCCCAGTCCTGAGGACCCTGTACAAAGTCACACCCAGAGAGCCCTGGGAGGTGCCAGAGTGCTGGATCAAGTGAACAAACACACACAACACAACAGGGCAATCATTTACTGAGCACTTACTATATATGTCAGGTGCTATTAATTTTTAGAATTTTTCCCCCTTTATTTGAGCACCAAGGTAGGGTACTACTAATTTTAATTCTCTCAACCACCCTAGAAGGTGTGTTTTGATGTCCCCATTTTACAGATGAGATAACTGAGGCACGGAGAGGTGAGGTCATTCTCCCAGGATCACAGAGCAGGGAGGCAGCAGAGCCAGAATACGAAGTGGGTCCAGGCAGGATGTGTGTGGGTTCTCGGGATGCCAGGAAGGCCCCCTGCCCAAAATGTCTTCCTACAAAGGCCTGAACTTCCACCATCAGCGCATCGTGATTCCAACGGTAAGCACTGCCCTCCTCAAGCGCCCAATCTGATGAGGTTACACAAGGAGGGTCCTGGGCAGTGTAGGAGGAGAGGTATGGAAAAGAGGTTGCCTCGGGTACCCTAAACTCCTCGTCCCCCTTCCTCCAGCCCTCCCCTGCATCTCCGAGCAAGTTAGAAATTCTGCAGAAAAAGAGAGAAGTAGGAAGAGTCTAAGTGGGGCCTCAGGGTCCAGAAGTCCCTTGCTGACCATGGACCTAAAAGCCACCTACCCACCACCTCTGGGTCTCAAGCAGAGGAGCAAGGGGACCTGGGGGCCCGGGGTTATTGGCAAGCTGGATAATGCAAATTAAGACCCCTCCCCCCACTCTCGCTAAAGTATGGACCATTGCACTCTAAGCTCAGGTCTTTGCTTCCCAGCCAGCCCCAATGCCACCTCCTCCAGAAAGCCTTCCCTGGTGCCCCGGATGAAATAATACCACAGGTGACACTTGGAAACATCTGCTCAGCGCTGGGCTGGCTCCAAGTGCTTCACTCGCATTAACTCATTTCGTCCTCCTGATGGCCCCGTGTGGCAGTTACCATCATCACCCACATTTCACAGAGTTGGAGACAGAGACTGCGAGAGGTGAACTGTCTTGCCCAAGGTCACCCAGCTGGTCAGCGGTAGAACAGGGATTTGAACCTCAGTTGTTGGCTCCAGAGGAACAAATGCTCACTCTTTCCTCTGAACCTGAAGGGAAGACTGTCCCTGTCATTCTTTTCATCTTCCTATTCAAAAACATCCACTGAACAACTATCGCCACTCACCCCTTCTCACCACCCCACTGCTACCACACTGGCCCAAGGCACTACGTCTAGGGCTTGGTGGGGTGACCTCCTCACTGGTCTCCCAGCTGCTCCCCTCCCCCTCCACAGACTGCTCCCCTTTGCAGCAGCTCAAGGGTAGCACCTGTCCCATCTGCACCCCCTCGTGCTCTGATTTGTCCATTTCAAAC